TGTAACAACATCATCATCGGTCAAATACCCGATTCGACGTAGAATTCTCTTTCGATACTTGAGGTCATCAAGGTGCAAAATTGATTGTGCAACGCCGATTTTACTTTTTAATTTCTTTATTCTGTTAAGAAGTGAAACTTTCTTCGAATAACGCTCGTACAATGCTGGAAGGTGCGGAGTACCAAAAAGTGGGTTGGACGATACTTTGTCTTCAAGAATTTCGATTTTCTAACACAAATTATGTGAGAATCACGATACTGATGACGACCACAAATTTTATGTAAACCTACTCTTATTAGCTTTTGAAAATTTTCATTGCTAATTCCCATATCTTCTATTGGATCCAATGGTATTAATCCATCAGGAAATTGTTTGATCACACTCTGAATACTTTCGTAAACACCCTGTCTAACTTGAGGGTTTGTCAAATTTTTTGGTGAAAATATGCGAATCGCACTCAAACTACGTATGGTCGACAATTCAACGGGAACGACCTTTAAAACAAACAAAATGTAACATATATATCACCAAAACGATCTTTCTATGCAAGCGCGAAAATTAATTGTCTAGAACCATTACCATCATTTCTCCAGGTTCGTTTTCTTTGCAAGGTCGAACACCGGTAGTTATTCCGTCAGCAGTCTTTGCCACGATCGAGTTAGGATCACAATATAGCAACACGTCAACGAAATAATCCCCGGGTAACGGTGCTCGCTTGTTTTGAAGATTCTTTAGGGTTTCTTTTTGTTCTAACGTCGGTTGGTCGGAATTGGAGTTCTCAATTTCTTCCGGATTCTAGAATAGTCGACACATACATAAACTTTAATTGACAAAATTATCAGGGACAAATCTGATTTTCTGACGTAATAATTTTACCTTCCTCTTTCCATAAGCGACAACCATGCCCCATCCAAATTCCATATTAGCATGTTTAATCCGAACCAATCTTCCTGGCTTAAGAAATGTGAGCACGTGTGATGGATGATTTATTATGGATCGCATCTCGCGATAATATGACCTTAACAATTTGCGACTCTCATAATATCCAGCCACAGTTTCTTCATCGGGAACAACTAAGGAGTCACGATTTTTTTCCAGATTGCGTAATTCTATCAAATAAGTAAGAAAAGATCAACACACAACGAAGAACCATAACACATTGTCATAAATTGTGCGATCTACCTTCTTCGAGTCTTGGTATGTGAGCAGTATTCTGGAATTGATAAAAACTTTTTTTCAACAGAAGTTCAGGGCCCAACCCTTCAGCTCTGGTCATATTCAATATCATGCTATATTTAAGGTGGAAAGCTGAATATAAATTGTCCGATTCACCCTAAAATGTGGGACGAAAGAAATACTGATTAAC